CAGTGCCAGCTTAACCCAATCGAGAATGTTTGGTCTGTTTTTAAAAGATATTATGATGCTAAAATAACTTCTGCCGGTGTAAAAGAGAGTACTGTATTAAGTATTTGGAAAGAAGCATTACCACATGTAATTCAAGAGTACTGTTGCGTAAAATATGAATCATATTAAAAACCTGTAAAGATGTTGTTTATTCTCATTTTTCATTCAAGTATTTTCTAGAAAGAAGATCCACGGGCTTGACCCACCGATAAAAACCAAGTCTGACTGCACGGCGTAAATTCCGGAAGGTCTCTACCCGCCTCCACAATAACGCTATTTAGTATAAATAGAAATTTTATGTAAACAGTTGGTTAGTCGAAAATAAATCGTTGTATTGAATAAGTGGTATAATAAATTGATATAAATTATTGTGTTTTAGTGAATTAGAATAAGGGAAATAAAGTAAATAAATTAGACTTATAAAAACAGTTCAGTACTGTAATTATTAGATAATAATTGTGGTTAAATTTAAGGTTACTTACACATAAAAGTGGAAGATTTATGTAAGCCATGCAGAAAATATTATAAATGAATACTGGGAGAGACAAAAATACTTGATGCCAGTCACATATCTCACTTAGCCATTGATTACAATCAAATGAAGAAGATTCTGAATTGGATTGTGGATTCAGGAATGATATTGATCTTAAAATATTACCGCTGTGGATGTTGTATATGTATTAAAACAGTTCTTTTCAGAACCACAGCATTGTCTTTAACTCATTCACTGCCGGTCACGCCACTGTGGCCTGCAAGAAGGTTTATTGTGTCTCAAATTTCATATCGGTTCGAAATTTAGGATTTTGTTTTGTAAGTAATTAAAAGTGTTTGATTATGGCTTCTGGCAATAACCCTGGTCCGTCTGGCGTTAAAAAAAGAACATAATTCAAATTGAAGAAACTTTAACGGATGAAGAATTACAACAATTAATATTGAAGCAAGTAAGCCAACGATAAAGATTTAATAGATTTGACAGATTTGAATTGTGAGTCACAGCATTCTAACCATGAAAATACTAACAACGATGCTGAGGTACAGCTACCGATATTTACTAATCAAAATAATTATATATGGGACAATCCACCTCTGATCAAACAAAATATCATTTTTACGGGAAATTTACATTTACAATTTACAGTAAGAAACTGACATGGAGTTATAGAGGCATTTTTAATCCTGAACAATTTGGCTTTATGAGAGGGAGGTCAACAGTTGCCAACCTGGTTTTGTAAGTCAATCATATATATATATATATATATATATATATATATATATATATATATATATATATATATATACATATATATATATATATATATATATATATATTATATATATATATATATATATATATATAACAGCTTTGAAGAGGGGTGCCAGGTGACTCAATCTATACTGACTTTTCCAAAGCATTTGATCGGGTAAACCATGGGGTCCTCTTACAAAAACTAAGAGCTTTGGGTATTTTGGATCCCCTTCTTCAGTGGATTACAGAATTTGTTAGTGGCCATACGCAAACAGTTAACGTGGGAAGTGACACTTCAACTGAAATAACAGTTCCATCAGGCGTGCCACAAGGCTCCCATTGTGGCCCTGTTTTGTTTTGCTTGTTTCTCGTTGATTTAGTACAACAAATCAAAAATTGTAGTGTTCTTATGTTTACTGACGATGTAAAACTGTTTAGAAAAATTCAATCCTGGAATGATGCTGTTATATTACAGGAAGATCTTAAATTGTTTTATGATTGGTGCACTTTAAACAAAATGTCACTCAATATAAACAAATGTCATAAAATGACATTCTCGAGGCAAAGAAATCCAATTACATTTGTTTACTACATAAATAACTTGCCATTAGTCTCGAAAAATGAAGTATTAGATTTGGGAATTTGGTTAGACACCAAACTGTCATTCTCAAGCCACATTAACCAAGTAACAAACAGAGCGATGAAAGTGCTGGGATTTATCCAACGCACATCTGTGGATCTGTCTTTATTTACATTTAGAAGACTTTATTGTGGTCTCGTTAGGCCCATTCTTGAGTTTGGATCAGTTGTATGGTCCCCATCATACCACTGTTACATTCAACAGATTGAAAGAGTCCAGAATAAATTTTTGAGGGTAGCAGCCTATAAGAGTGGATACAGGAGAGAGGAATACAACTATCAGTGGGTAAGAGATAGTTGGGTAAGAGATAGTCTTAAGTTACCAACACTTGAGTCAAGGAGGACATTTTTAGATTTATGTTTCTTACACAAAGTTATCAATGCTTTTATAGATTGTCCTCAACTCTTATCGCTTGTTAGTCTTAAAGTTCCTAGTAGAAGCAACAGACAATCAGAAATCTTTTCGGTGCCATTTCACCACACTAATTATGGTATCAATGAACCAACTACACGATTGGTCCGGAGTGCTAATAGCTTGCCAAGACAAATAGATATTTTTGACTCCAAAATTAGTTTGTTTAAAAAACAACTAAAAAGTATCTTACAATAAGTTGGTTGTACATCTGTATTATTCTTATATGTTTGTATTATTCTGAGGTGTTTGTTATTTTAATAATTTATTGTTGTTAAGGTGTAATTTTGTAAAACTTGTGATTGTTATTTTAATAATATATTGTTTTTAAGATGTAACTTTGTAAAAATTGTAAGTAAATGGATGCTGTATATAAATAAATAAATAAATTGTGGATTATTAGTTCAACCTTTAGGCAAGACTTACGATTAAAATAAAAGATTATTTTAATCTTTTTGCAGATGACACATTTTTTCGACTTGTCGTTAACGAAACAAATAGATATGCTGAAGAAATTTTCTTAAGTTCTGCTGGAAAATAGAAATCTAGAATAACGGAGTGGAAGCCTATTACTGTAGGGGAATTGCATATATTTTTTGGTTTAGTTTTCATATGGGAACAATTAAAATTAACCAAATAAATGATTACTGGATTGCAAAAATTGATGATTACAAATTGTTCAATTTTATTTGCTTCAGTAACTATATGGGAAGAAATTGTTTCCTGTTAATCTTACATTGCCTACGTTTTGTAAAAAATCCAGGTGTTGGAGATACATTTCCTCAAGATCAATTGTATAAATTGAGACCTATTGTCGATTACTTCAACCAAAAAATGTGTCAAATATATTATCCGTCTAAAAATGTAGGTATTGATGAATCAATGGTTTTGTGAAGAGGCCGACTGCAGTTCAGGCAGTATATAAATAACAAACGGCATAAGTATGGGGTGAAACTTTATCTTCTGGCTAAACCTAACAGACTTACTCTAAAAATAGCTGTGTATACTGGAGCAAAAGTTTAATATAGTGAAAGGAGCTTACATCAGACATTGTTTTTCAACTAACGGAGATGTACAATTTCTACAATAGTTACACATTGTTGGTTGCTCTTCTCAAACGGAACACTTATTGCACAGGAACATAACAACTGAACCGTAAAGGAAATTCTCATGAAGTTGTAAGTTCTAGACTCAAGAGAGGTGAAATAATTCTAAAGTGTAATAACAATTCAGGTGTTCTTATGGAAAAGTGGCATGATAAAGGGATGTTTCATTTATTACTACATAGTATTCTGGTGATTTAGTTACGGTTTCGAACAGAAGAAGTATTAAAAAAGAATAGCCTGAGACTATTGCACAATATAATAAAAATATGTCGGGTGTAGATTGTAAATGTTGGTTTACAACCCATATGAGCGTAAAAGATACAGTGTTACAAAAAAATATTTATCCACTTTTTTCAATTAATGCTCATAAATTCTCATGTTTTATTCAATGCTGTTCAATATCACAGCTGCTCAATTCCTCCTTATTTCCAGAGACTCTGTATATATCTATGTATATGATTATACAAATCAAAGAATTTTTTATATAGCAATAAACACCATTGATTTGTTTTTGTGCCAAATTGCAATAAAAGTGTTAGAAGCAATAACCTTTTCATATCTAGACGATTACATTAAACAAATATACGAATTTATAGTTAAAATCTGACAAAATTAATGCTTATATACCTGAAAAACTATTTCATTATTATGCAATGTAAAGATATAACATATATAACTTAAAGAACAGGATATTCTTAAAAATAAACAATATTAAAACAACTTAACTGAAATGTAGCTGAAAACACTACATGAAAATATATATTTTTTATTTATTATTCCTTTGTATATATTCTACTGATAATCTAGTATATATTACTAATTAAAAAAACTTGTTTTAATGTAGATTAAGGGAAAACAGTGCAATTTTGCTTCCATAATACTAGAATCTTTTTATTTTTCAATCATAGTAAGCAAAAAATTCAAACAGTTAAAATATCACTAAAATCTTTTATCTACACTTATCAACAAATTTGTGGGTTTTTTCACTAAATTTTTAAACCAGAGATATCATTTGTTTTTGTAAATAGGGTTTTTTAATCTTACAATATTAATTACATTATATTTTGACATATTTTATATTTTATAGATAAGTGGTTTTACAGACAGTAAAATATTCAACAGATGCAGAAATCAAATGTGAGACATTAGAAATTCAACAGCACCAAAGAATACATAAGTATTTTAACATCTAATTAAAAAGTTTAAAATCTGTTAACAAAACAGAAACTAAAAATGTATTGACAAAAATAAAAGAGAGGCTTAGATGAGAGTAACTTAATATATAATATGGAGTCATCAACATTATCCTAATTTGTAGCTTGTTCATTAAAAAGGATATCTCTTAGTATCTCATTTCTCCTTTTAAAATAAACTATAAACCAATGTGATCCATATGTTAATATTAATACCTATTTGAGTAAAAAATATAATAAAACCATTAATTTACATGAATATTAAAATTGAATAAAATTTTGAATGAAAGTGTTACTAATTTGTCCTTCCCACAAAATAGGTATATTTACAGAGAAATATGTATATGTTTATGATGTTTACCTACCTCAGCAAAATCTTCAACAATTGTTGATTTTTTATTGGGAAACATAGACAAATAATTTGCAGATATTATCATTAATAACACTGCTGTCAATATTAGAGAGCCAAAGACAACCACAGCCTTTTTTAATCGCATTGTTATTATTATCTAAAAATATTAAACAATAATTAATAAAAAATACTAAGACTAACTACAATTGATTATTTCAATATATTTAGGAGGTAAACAAATAATTGAAAAACTACAATTTTGAATAAATAAATAAATAGTAACCACTTACCAATATACAGTCTTTAACTAACTACATGACCCAATCATACCTATAATTTAAATAATGTTACACGCTACATTAATGATTGTTTATCATTAAAGTAAAGAATAGAGATATAAGATTGAACTGGTTGGTATATCAAAAAACCTCAAAATTTTAGGGAAATAAATTCTATTTTTCTGACAGTTTCTGTCACTTGTCATAACAGAAAAGTATATTGGCGTTGGTATTGTTTATTATTCGGTGCCTTGGTGTTTTGGTTGTCTTTATTTACGGGGGATATGCATAGACGTAGATGTAATTAACATATATATATATATATTATATATATATATATATATATATATATATATATATATATATATTATATATATATATATATATATATATATATATATATATATATTATATATATATATATATACAGTGTAGGAAAAATTTTATGGTCGGTATGGTAAAATTTAACAGGATATCTAACGCAGATATAAAATCATATTTTCAGCGAATAGACAGAGATAACAATCATATTTCCCCTTGGTCTCCCCTCCTCAAATATTTTTAACACCTATTGGCCATTAGTGAGACGAATAGTTCCGATCAGAGATATTTTACATATTCTCTGGTTCCGATCCTAATATACCTAAAGAACTAGAGGTGGGTCCTCCCGTTTTTTAAATTTTTATCGGAACCGTTTTTCGTAAACTGTAACTAGTTGATTCAAATTAGCGAGTACACAAACATATTGGCTATTATCGTTTATGTGTATAAGTATTGAAGTGAAAGAACCTAACGAAGGATATATTTATTATAACTTGAAAAATAAATTAAACAATACAAATAGTACTTACATTTACATTAAATCGTACTTACATTTACATTACACGTTATTATTAAATCGCGAATCGTCTAAATTGACATTTAAAAACAAGTTTTTCTACTTTTCTTGTTAACCGTGTTCTTCCTTTATTTAAAATTAAACCAGATTTTAAACATGTGTTCACAAGGAAAAGATTTTGTTACAATTCTACAATATTTTATGAATATAGTGGCTAAGTTAGGATATACATGGCGATGGTTTTGCCACCACGGTAATGGACAGTTCCAATCTCCGTTCGAAATTTATTGTGGGTAATATATTATCAGACAAATACATGTCGACTTCTTGTATATCTCTCGATACAGTTGTATGTTTAGATGAGTCATGTCCAATTAATTCATCAAAAATACACAATGGACTTAAGTCATCTTTATCAGTTTCTTTTTCTTGACTAAACTTATTGATTTACTAAACTTATGCAAAGACTCGTTTCATCCGTTTTGTATAGGTGAAGAACCAGCTTTTAAAAAGTTTGCAGGGTGGATTCCTGGATATAAACCGCCAACAAGAAAAACTGTTAGATTCATTACTTCAGGAATGTTATGTCAAAACTGATTTGATAATAGAAAAATAAAAAGTCCTTTTTTCGACAATTCTGCAAAAAACATTAAAAAAAAGTACCTTATCTTCAGAAAGGCTTTTAAAGTATTAATTACAACATAACAAAGTTCCCAAACGGCCAATCCAAGACGTGGAAACTAGGTAGAACTTCACCTATTACAGGTTAAAAAGAATGACTGAGTTGGAAGAGGCAATCCGTTTCACTTCTTCTTTTTTAAGTTCCATCTTCTATCGAAGGTTGGAAATCATCATGGCTATGCCGACTCTGTTGACTGCCGCTCTAAAAAGGTCTGCACTACTGCATTCAAACCATTCCCTTAAGTTCTTAAGCCAGGATATTTTTCGTCTTCCCACATTTCGCTTTTCTCGGATTTTGCCCTGCATAATAAGTTGTAAGAATGCGTATTTTTGCCCTCTCATCACATGTCCCAAGTACTCAAGTTTTCGTCTTTTAATAGTTAATATTATTTCTGCCTCATTTCCTATCCTTCTAGTTACTTCAATGTTTGACATTTTTTGAATCCATGATATTCGTAGGATTCTTCTGTAACGTCAAAATTCAAAGGCGGCCAACTTATTCAGATGAACTTGTTTTGGTGTCCAAGCTTTCAGACCATAAAGAAGAGTAGAGAACACGTAACATCGAAGCATTCTCAGGCGTAGTTCTAACCTTATATCCCGACAACAAAGAAACTTTTTAAGTTTAATAAATGATGTACGTGCTATTTCAATACGTGTCTTAATTTCTTTGGTTTGGTCTACATCTGTTGTTATCCATGTTCCTAAGTATTTATAGTTATTAACACTCTTAATTGCAGTATCTTCAATAGTCAATTGGATATTTGTGCAGATTTAGTCATCATCATGCATTTAGTTTTCTTTAAATTTATCTTCAGTCCGTACTCATGACAGCGTTCATTAAGGCGTTGCATTAGGTTCTGTAAATCATTGTTGTTATCCGTAATTATTACTGTATCGTCTGCAAAACGTAAGTTATTCAAAACTTCTCCATTGATAGATATACCTTCTATTGAGTCTGAGAGCGCTTCTTAAAATACCGATCACTGTAGACATTGAAAAGTAGTGGGGACAGCACGCAACACTGGCGGACTCCTCTCTGTATTTTGATATTTTCGGTGTACTGGCGTGTATTTCCGTTCCACATCGGTATTAAATAATACAGACTTAGACTTAGACCAAATCTAAATAATGAAGACTGGATTATTTTTTCGTAATTGTCCCAAATTTTACGGTCTTTTAAAGAAATAACAAGTACAATGAGTGGCCAAAAAGACTTGAATGATAGTTTAGTGATTGTTCTGGTACCCTGCCTGCAAAAATCTTGCAATAAAATTTTAGCAAACAGTAACCTTACATCCATAGTATCCGACGTAGTACGGGTTTTTATTACTAATTACGGGATAATTACTAATCTCTTTTTTAGCAAAAAGATTTAGAGGGATAGAATACAGTGGCTTATTGTCATTATGTACGTTTATGGATTCACGATTTAAAGTGCAGGGATTTTCTGATAAAAATGACGCTAAAAAAAACAAAAGAAAGAGTTAAGAAGCTGGTTACTTCTATAATTAAAGAACAAGAAGATTATACTATTGAAAATCAACCAGTATAAGAAAAAGAAACCGATAAAGATGACTTAAGTCCACGGTGTATTTTTGATCAATTAATTGGACATGACTCATCTAAACGTACACCTGTAGCGAGAGTCCATTACAATGGTGGAAAAACCATCTCCATGTATCTCCTAACTTAACCACTATATTCATAAAGTATTGTAAATGTGAACACATGTACAAAATTAGGTTTAATTTTAAATAAAAGAAAAACACGGTTAATAAGAAGTAAAGTACAAAAACTTATGTTTTTAAATGTCAATTTAGGCGAATCGTGATTTAATAATAACGTGTAATGTAAACGTAGGTACGATTTACTATTTGCATTGTTTAGTTTAGTTTTCAAATTATAATAAAATCTTTTATTAGTTTCCTTCACTTCAATAAATATACACATAAACGATAATAGCCATTATGTTTGTTTATGTAGGTAGTTTCTTACTTGAAACTACTATTAAAAAATCATAGTTACTTGTTTAGGAAAATCGGTTTTGCGACGTCAATGACCCACCTCTATTCGTAAATACCTGTGTACCCCTTGATTCGGTGATTTGACCACGCGACACGCCACGTTGGCAAATAGTTTTGTACGAAGCTTTTTTATTTATATGCAGTTTAATATTTTTATTGGAAATAAGGCATAATGTCACTTTAAAATAAGCTTATTTTGATGTTTAGATTTTTAATTCGGAAATCGTTTTTAAAATACCAAACATTAATAAATTTTATTTATATAAAACGATTTCCGAAGTATAAATCAAAATGATATATTACACTTATTGTAAAGTAAAATTCTGACATATTCCCAATAAAAAACAATAAGCTGCCATTTAAATCCATTTCGCCTAAATTTCATTATCTTGGAGCATTGTTCAAATGCGAAAAAGACAACAGGTCAAATAAAACCAATAAGTTTGGCAACATTGAATTTCCCCTTTTTATTATATCCACTCCATATCCACTCATTTATGTTCGGTGATATAAAAGGCGGACACCTAATATATCTCTCTCTTTTTAAACAGTTGTTTCTCACTCCATCTCATGTAAGGTCCATACCGACCATAAACTTTTACCTATACTGTATATATATATATATATATATATATATATATATATATTATATATATATATACAATAAACACAGATAACACAGACACAGACTTAACCGTTCTTGTGTCATATACTCGGTTCGCTATTCCCAGTCCGAACTGTCTAGTAAATTTAGTAATTATTTTTTGCGAAGTTTGTTACTTTTTGACAGACTAAAAGTGGCTGGAAATTACTCTACAACCAAGCACACGTATTCATTAGGCAATAATAATAGTAAACAAACTAAGAACTTTTCGAATTACCGACAATCAATATTTATTTATCTGCACCATATAATAAATATTTATGTTAAATTATAACATGGCTACTCCAAATTTCTCTAATCTCAGTCGCCAAGCTCCAAAACCCAGCGGCGGTGGGGTCCCACGCATTAGACGCGTCTGCCGGTGCGGGGACCCCGCCCTCGCTCCTGACACACACACACACTTTTCGAACCTTCCTCGATAGACTATCTAGGAGTAGCCGACTCACCCTATCCAACTTCCCGCCCCCTCACACCCCAACAGGAAGCTCTTAGCTCGGAAATTGTCGGCGAGGCACTGGTGGGGTCACTGACGCCAAATAGGTGACACCAATAAATACCAGTAGAAGAGAAGACCAGCCCAACTGCATCTCAGCATGCATCACCGACTAGTCCTTATCCTCACGGAAGGATGAATTGCGAATTCCCGGCGCCAAAAACGGGGACCTTTTGGCTATGGAATGGTAACCCAAACAGAAGAGTCCAGATGGAGAAAACCAGCTTTTAAAAAATCCGCAATTCAAGCTGGAAGTTATCGCGGCGAAGGATGAATGGCCATGCGTAGTTGGTCGAGAGCGATTCCTGTGAGGAACCAGGCGACACCTCACAGTAATTAGCCTTACTCGGGCATGCGGGGCTCTGCTCGAGTGGACTGCAATTCCCTAGCTACTCGTGGGAACAATATGGAAAGTAATATGGAAACCAATATTCCCGAACAACCCGTAGTAGAAAGCCCTGAAGGCACTACTA